ACCGCCGCTCATTGACATTTGCAACACTGGGTTGCAGATGCATTCCGTTTCATTAATGTGGGGGCCCCGGCGGGCTAACTCACTCGCCAGACGAAACGCAGAATTATACTTCTACTTCACAGCGTTCTTCTGTGTGGCCGTGGTACTTACCCGGACGGACCTGCCCATTCGTGCAACAGGTAAAACTGCTGCGTGGCCTTACCGCAGTTAAAAATATTACCTACCATATGTATTTTACTCGAGTGTAGGCCGTCCGCGGCGCAAAATCGATATTCGCAAAGTTCCGGAATAAGGAAGCTGTTTGTGTACATGCTTTTAAGTTTAGTACCTATCGCCGTTAATAACAACTATTAATGATACTTCCTGATTTGCAACAGAGATTGCAAGCACGGAAAGAGCGTTAAATGTCCCGTGTTATGTTCGTAGCATTCGGTATTAAAATATTGTGTTCTATACGTAATGAATTGTTTGAATTAACCATGTTAACCATGTATTTCAAATTTTATCCTACGATGGTTGTGGTGTAATTTTTGCAAGTTATTGATTTCGAACATTACCTTATACTATATATAGTTCAGTTTTAAATAAAACCCGGTTTTTGATTTAAACTTAACAGTGAAAAATATTAGATCGAAACAAGCTTCAATGAAGAAAAGTAACGTTAAATTAAATTCATTATGAATTAATTTTTTTCACAATTTGCAGTATTTCTTTTTTTTTTAAATACAGTTTTAATTTTACCCGTCTTATTTATGGACTTTGTATTGCGCATGCATAGTTGTGCTGATTCTAATATTACTTTAACTTCGAAGAATTCTTCAGAGGTGAGCGCACTTTGTCAAAGTTCAATTGCGATAGGAAATGACAATGTCATTATTACATTCATTTGTAGCTTCACGTTCATTTTAGATTGAAATTATGACAAGAAACTAAGAATTGATTCTTAGATCATAATGTTGTTAGTTTATACTCAAACCCTTTTGGGGGACAAACACCTTATATCGGGAACATCTGGGGTCAAAACATCTGTCCCTTGTTGGAATCGAACCCGCGACTGCTCCGCAAATGCTCCACCAAAATTCAATTGTTCCCACATTAAATAATATTATAACAAATTCTGTTAACAGAATTTTTAGATTCGCCACAGTTAACTGTGCGCGACTGTACTAAGGGCGCAGTACTGAGAAGCGCTCAATTTGCGGATTCGAACGTCGAACCATGCGTTTCCACGTAACGACGTGCAGAATGGAAACCGCACTGCGCGCATAACCCGCTCCGTTATGACTCACATTATAGAAGTCGGCCCTTGACTTCATACACCGCACGGTTACTGATCCCTTCTCTTCGGTCGTGGCTAATTGTACGGTCATAAAAGAAATTATTTCGCTCTTACACCATAGTCTTGATTCAAAAACGGTAATGTGTTTGTGGTGTTTATTGATTCTTTATTATTATTCTTTTATTTAATGTTATGTTTAAAATTCACCCCGACTCATAGCCTACCAGGGTTCACTGACAACACTGCAGCAGGAGTCGACTGAACACCCATTTAACTTCGCACTGCCTGTCTAAATGTATAATAATAATAATAGTCTAATATTTATAATTTTAATGTACTTCTTTTTACCTGGAGGTCTCATTTTTTTCGATGATGTTAAATAAATTACTTTCAATTTATATACCTTCTGTATAGAGAAGGCTTTACTTTAAATGTACACGGCATGGTGCCAAGAACGCCGCATTCCCTCTCTGAATTGTTGGTTATGCTTAACCTTTGAGCGAGAAAAGAACCAACCCTCTTGTCACCAGCCGCCGCAAAAAGTCTTCATTATTTAATATATAATACAAACAGAAAAAATTTAATCTAATGTATCCCGGTTAGCATGCTTAGTGACTGTTTTGTATTTCACACCTAGTGATAACAAGTACATATTTACGAAAAACAAAACTGACTTTAAATATATCTCTCTGTATTCGTTTTATTATTGATTTTCAAGAGTTCCCCAGGTATGTAGCCCAAGATCCAATACCAATGAAATTAATATGGGACCACATGGGAAGCAATTGTCGAAAAGTCTAATTGAGAAGCTCCTCTTATTTTGAAGTCGGTTAAAAATGAACTTTCTCTATTAAAAATTATCTCTCTTAGCACCGCCATCGCAATTTTCGGGTTCCCATAAGAATAGAACGGAAAAAATATTTTTGTTCCTTCTGATTTTTGTAACTAACAAACAATGACTACGAACTGTGTTTTTTTTAAAGTGAATTGAACGCTATAGAACAAAGATCTGAAGTTTCTTATCAAGTCCACTCCAATTGTACGGACTGTATTCACATATGGATACGAGCTTCGCCCTTCAAAAGGCACGTGCCACTGACCAATCAAGGTCACTTTACCATCACGAATTATTACGTCAAGGCAAAAAATGCTTCAATCAATTGGTCGTTGGCATATATTTTTTCTGCGGTAGAGCAACAACAGCCTACATAAAAACCGGCCAAGTGCGAGTCGGACTCGTGCACGCAGGGTCCCGCACCATTATCTATAAAAACGGCAAAAAATCATGTCTGTTGTACGGCAGCCCCACTTAAATTTTTTTTATTCTGTTTTTTAGTTTAGTTATCTATTGTTATAACGGCAACAGAAATACATCATCTGTGAAAATTTCAACTGTCCAACTATCGCGGTTCATGATATACAGCCTGGCGACAGACAGATAGACAGCGGTGTCTTAGTAATAGGGTCCCGTTTTACCCTTTCGGTATAGAACCCTAAAAAGCTCCTGGCTACAGGACCAGTCTAACTCGACTGGTGACTGTATTGTATTTTTTTTTTTTTTTTTTTTTTTATGCGAAAAGTTGTCAAACGAGCAGACGGTTCACCTGATGTTAAGTGAATACCGCCGCCCATGGACATCTGCTACACTCGAGGGTTACAGATGCGTTGACAACCTTTTGAAAATTGGGCTCCGGCTACCTCACTCACCAAACGAAACGCGAAAGTATTTGTCATACTTCCACTTTACGCCGGTCTTCTGTGAGGTCGTGGTACTTACCCGGACGGGCCTGCCCATTCTTGCAACAGCCGAGGCTGCTGCGTGGCCCTACCACCGTATTGGGCCAATCTTTCTCGGTTGGGGATGTATTGTATGATGTGTAATAGAATAGATCTATTGTAGTCTACGAAAACATCTCTTACATTAGGATAACATTGCCATACGTAATAATGACGTTTTAGATACATAAATTTCACGTGGACCGAGTACGTACCAAGCCTACACATTCATTTTTTTATGTGACCAAGTGGCAAACGAGCTGGCGGGTCACCTGATGTTAATTGATAAGCGCCGCCCATAGACATTTGCAACACCCGTAGGGTTGCAGACGCGTTGCCACCTTTTGATAAAATGGGCCCCGGCTAACGCACTCACCAGGCGAAACGCAGAAGTGTAACTTTACGCCGCTCTCCTGTGAGTAGGTGGTATTAACCCGGACGGACCTGCCCATTCGTGCAACAACGAACACTTGCATGGCCCTACCACAGTTATGAAGTGATGTAAACTGATCATAGTTTTGCGTTTCGCCTAATATGATCATCATAAATCTTAACTAATCAGCCGTCAAATGGATTTTCAAATGTTATTTAAGTTGCCAAAAGGATGTTTAAACTCTCTGAATTGGTCAGAATGATCTTAATGAACAGAATGATAAATCCAAACAGTTTAACCATCCTTTTGGCAACTCAAAAACTACATTTGATAGGCCATTTGACCGCTGATTAGTTAATATCTACGATGATCAGTGACTCAGAAACCGAGCGTTAAACACAAATGTTCCTTTAAGAAGTATCGCCTAATGCTGGTATGTAATTCGGATTTGCAAGCAAGATCTAACGTGGCGCTGGCGTATGTTTGTACAGGTTTTTGCGAGACAATCGCAAACATCGCATCCAAGGCCAATCGACTGATGGGAGTAGCAAAAAATCGTTTAGGATCGCATTTTCAAATGTAATGAGTTTCAGAAATTGCAAAAGCCAATACCAGGTACTCCTTGAGAGAATGAGTTTTAGCAAATTGCAAAAGCCTTATACCAGGTACTCCGTGAGATTAACAAAGTGGCTTTTAAAAACGTTGAATCTGTTATTCTGAATGCTACAACGTTATAGATTGGAACCAAACGTCCATTTATGTGATTTATTCAACAGTACTTATATTTTTTGTACCTGTTACGTTTAACTAGTGATGAGATAATCATGAATATGATTTTTATGATTCGTAAATTCATTTTAATACAATATAAGCAAGCAAGTTGAAGACTATACTACTTACTTATGTTTTTGATTTTCAGCGTATTCCTGGCGATGATAACGTTTTTTAAATACATTAAGAAATTGAATGTTACTATACATATTTCTATGCTTTCACTTTATTCTCTTTTCTTTGTGCAATAATACATGATCGGCTGACATACATCTATTTCTGATCGATAATTTATAATTTAAAATACTGAAAACTTTTAATTTGGACATTTGTTATACAGAAAAGATAATAGCATCATGTATTCCATCCATGTAACAATTACTTCCAGATTATTCGCAGACAGTAACGAATGTCTATTGTGCATAATTCTTAGGTTTTTTTTAACGTCATGAGTTAAAATGCTAATGGTTTTATTGGGAATGTTGTGACTAGAGCAGCACCAAGTAACATTCTTTACATGTCCCTCCTTCGGTCTTATGTATGTGGCCTCACTGCGGATTGGTGGACTTCACATATCTTCGAAATATTTTTTTGTTGTTATCAAGAAAATATACAGGTTTCCTCACGACGTTTTGCTTTACTGCTGAGCACGATAAGTCAGCACTTAATTAACAATTTCATTGGTGCCGGCACCGGGGATCGAACTCAGATTGCTCGAGTATATTGAATTAAAGGCGGCCGGCCGGACACTGAGCTATCACGGCCTGGGGAAGCAGAGTTTGACAGGAATTTCTGTTTCAGAACGGACTTCTATCATCTCTTCCGTACCTGGGCAAGTATCTTTGCGCGTTGGCTTCCTCTGTGCTGGCTGACTCCTTGCGCCGCAGCGGGCGGCTCTCCACCACAGCAGCGAGGAAACTCTTCACCGGTTTTGCCGTCGGCTTACCTGGTGAGGAGTCTTGTTCTTCCATCTTCGACTTTGAAATTTTAATGGCTGGTGTTTGAAAAAACAGGAGTTCAGGATTCTAGTAGTCGAGGCCATTAAAAATCTTCAGCGTAGTATTTCAGTGGCTTTGCGGACATACACTGAATGAGGATAAGGAGTCAAGGTTATCGAGACAATTGGCTTACTGATGAAGACACTAGTTATTACGACTGACTTTAAAGAAACGATATGCGTACAAATTACATTGATTAAGAGTTGTAGACCATATTACGTATACTGGCGACCTGCCCCGGCTTCATGTATTATACATATAAACCTTCCTCTTGAATCACGTTATCTAATAAAAAAACCGCATCAAGATCCGTTGCGTTGTTTAAAGATCTATGCATAAATAGGGACAGACAGACAGCGAGACGACCTTATTTTATACTATGTAGTGAAGCGAGTATTATGAGTAGATGAATAAACCAGGAACGCATAATGATTATATCATTTTTTTATCTTGATCTGACTAGAGCATGACTAATAAATAGATGGTAAGTGTTGAAGCCATTCTAGATAAGCAAAGTATACCATTAACACTTAGCAAATATTTTCCATTGTATTTAATTAACCTGTGGTTAATTAATACTTCATTTTTATCTTTGGTTACTGACTCTTTTCTGATTACCACTCCAATGGTAATTTGTGATTCAATCATTTGTGGTATACGATAGAGGCGTACTCTGCCTGTTCTTCTAAAAACCGTTATATTGGTTTTGTTTCGGAATAGACGGCGCTGGACTAACTGTTAAGAAGCTTGTTTTATAATAGTAGAATAGCATACATATGATGCATTAAGTATGCTGTCCCTATATGATTATATTGGCTTAAATCAGGGCTCAGAGGCACACTGCCATGAGCACGCTTCTTCCACAAATTGTGCATTATCACCAGAACCGTAGGTGGTGAGTCCTTATAAATGCCATCTGCAACACGCGGTGGTAGATTTTGTCGAGGAGGGTGCGGTTAAGAGCTGTCTCGTAGTAGTAGAATAGCATGCATATGATGCATTAAGTATGCTGTCCTTATATATATATTGGCTCAAAACAAGGCTCAGAAGTACACTCCAATGAGCACGCTTCTTCCACAAATTGAGCATTATCACTACAACCGTAGCTGGTGAATCCTCATATAAGCCGCCTGCAAGACGCGGTTACATTCACTGAAAGCATAGCTGATGAATCCTCATATACAGGGAGATTTTTTTAAAGATGGCCAAATTTACACATGAGGTTAAGAATCGGTAGTATAATCGTTTATGAAATAAAAACTAACTTTTTTTTTTTCAAAAACATTACCATTGTATTCCCTAAAAAACAGAACTTGTTGACGACGCGGTAGTCATTCATGAGTACCTAAATTTTACTGTTCACGCACACAAACGAACTTGTGTGCGTGTTAGTTATGAATGATCGCGAGTAAAATAAATGAGTTGCGTATGAATCACGCACTTTTTGAAATAAGTTCAAATGAATGTAATTAATTACTTACGAGTGATTTAAAATATTTATCATTTTTTATATAACATTATTAATGTCTAGAATTTAATAAAAAAAAAATAGATACACTTAGGAAAGCCTCCCTGTATACCACCAGCAACACGCGGTTACATTCACTACAAGCTTAGCCGGTGAATCCTTATACATAACACCTGCACCACGCGGCGGTAGCTTTGTCGAGGAGGGTGGGGTTAACAGCTGTCCCTCCCGCAGGAGTAATGATGCTGGTGCAGGCGTTCCTCGGCCACGATCGCGTGTGGTCGATTGCCATATTCACCCTGGCGCTGACGATCAACGGCGCCGTCACCGCCGGCTACCTCGGCAACGGGCTGGACATCGCGCCGAACTTCAGCGGTGAGCTACTCCTAACGGCGGAATCCGACAACGCGAGAATATACCAACACTGCCTGTGTCCCACTGCTGGGCAAAGGTATCCTCTGTACGGAGGGTTTTTTTACGTGATACAGTGGCAAACGAGCTGGCGGTTCAACTGATCTCGAGTGATAACCGCCGCCCATGGACTTTTGCAACACCCATAGGGTTGCAAATGCGTTGCCACCACCTTTAAATGAATTAGGCCTCGGTTACCTCACTATACAGACGAAACGCAGAAGTGCAACACTTCTACTTTACGCCGGTCTTCTGTGACGTCGTGATACTAACCCGGACCGACCTGCCCATTCTGCCCATTCGTGCAACAGTGAACGTTGTTGCGTGGTTAACCACAGTTAAATTATGGCACAGTCCACCACGCGACACCACTGCGGATTGACGGACAGACATATCTTCGAACATTTTTTTGTTATTATTTCGAAAGTATACAGGTTTCCTCACGACGTTTTCTTTCACCGTTGAGCACGTGATAAGTCAGCACTTAAAGTTAAAAACTTCATTGGTGCCGGCACCGGGGATCGAACTCAGGTTGCTCGAGTATATTGAATTAAAGGCGAGCGCCCGGACACTGAGCTATCACGGCTCCTAAGGAACAGTGGTAATAAGAATTCCCTTCCAGGCACCATCTTCGGTATGGCGAACACGCTCTCATCCTTCGGCGGCTGGCTGTCTACGTTCATGGTCGGGGAGCTCACCAAAGTGCACGTGAGTCCTGTCTGGTTCTAAGTAGGGATGTCCCGATACCCACATGGTATCGATACCACTCGTACGAACACTCATAAAGTAGCGACATCTATTCATATCGATGCTTTTAAAATTTGTTTTATTTCTGATATAATAAGATATTGCGATGATTTATTACGTTAACAGCGGATCGCCCCTCAATTGTATGGGACTTAATTTAAAACCTATTTGAGCGTTCAATTCTGAAACAATACACAAAAAGTCCCGAATAGTATGGTGTGAAGAACTTATTCGTATTTACTTGTATCGGAATGTCCCTCGGTCTATAATAACCTTTGTCTAAACCCAACTCCGCCTCGGCAAAGGACCACTTACGAGGTGATTTTGAGCATACAACTGATGCATTGCAGACGCGTTGTCTAATGCATACGGCTCTAACTAATTCTCAATACTTCGAGACTATCTTTTTCCATGTTTACGAGAAAAAATGCTTATTATTTTTTTTTATTCTCGCCATTGCTTCCCCAGAACACATACGAGCAGTGGCAGATCGTGTTCTACATACTGGCCGGCACGTACGTGCTGGGCGCTCTGTGCTTCGTGTGTTTCGGCTCCGGCGAGCTGCAGCCCTGGAACTCGCCCAACGAGCCAGCTCCCAGCGGCGCCGAGCAGCAGCCGCTCAACGAGGAGAAGGCCTGAGCCACGGCGAGACACGACGAGATCGCGCGAGACACGGCGAGATTCTGCGAGACACCGCGAGATATGAACAGCCCGTCGACACCTAAGTCATGACAATAGCGGACTATATAAATATGCTTAACATTACCCAACTTGAATCCTTACGATCCGCTGTTCGAGATCGTAATGAAATAAACAAAACTAGTTTGTCTTCGACACACACCTGCTACTTTTTAGTAGATAACACAATAGAATTGAACCCCGCTGTTTGTTATGGGAAAGGTACGGCGTTTCTATATTTAAAACCGGCTCTGTTGTTTTTTCAATACACAAAAGTATTAAACTTACAATATAACTTCCATACTTAAGTAAAGTTGATTTTAAATTACGTAGTCATAATATGAAGAACGAATCATAAATAAAAAAACGAATAAGTTCCTTTTCATGAACTAATAATCCAAAGCTTTTTTGTTTAAAATTTACATTTTTTTTTTTGTTTTAAAACGACTTATATAGTCTCGACGTAACACTTAATCCAAACGTTTCGTTGAGACATTGTTAAAGTTTAACGTTTCCATAATATTATGTCTACGTAATTTAACTAGTTATATTACACATATATTTTTTAAATCCTTTAAATATACCCTTCATATATTTATTTGTTTGAAATATCGATGCGACATTACAAAGACTGCAAGGATTGTTTTTACAAACAATTCCACTTCGTAGTATTTACAAATAGAACAATAGAACGAAACAAATATTAGATTCAGTTGTCTTTAAAGATTAAAAACATCCGAACCAATATTTAATATTAGGATCGATATTTCTTTACGGAACACGTAACATACACTGATATAGTTGAAACCGACGCTTTCAAGAAGTATTTATTGAATATGTATTAATGGTTAAGACTTGGCGAGATAAATAAATCCGTCTCTAAGGACGATAAATTGAAAATTAAAAAAAAAAATAGGCTGCTAATAGTAATCGGCACGCGCAACGGACACGATTGTAGCAATCGAATTTAAGAGGTAGGTTTACAAAGAGTTCACGTGAAAAAAATCGTGTCGTATGTACATACATTTTGTATATCATTCCACTTGCTGTGGTCATACAGGTATAATACTGAATATACAGTGATATTTATAATCTGATATGGTCTGATATCATAATCTATTCGGTATACATTACAAACTGACGGTGTTCAAAATGTAACAACGACTCCATATTTTACAGAATTGCCACATTTTTGCCCCTCCACCATTACACAATCAATGTAAATGGTTATAAAAAAGATATACTTCCGCTTATAATTGCCTCATTGTTCTCCATGATATGAAAGTATAGGTTTCCAAGTCTTCACTATAGTTTAATCATCGTGCATAGTTTTGAAACTGATTCTTTTCTACACACTATTTACTTTAACCTTTCGCGTTTTTAAGATTAAACAGTTAGCGTTTGTCTGTAATTTTCTGTTTAACTCCTTTCTATACTTTCCTTATCATCAACTTAACTTTCCAGAGCCTTAGTACACCCTCGCGTTGCTAGTTTTTAGTCTCTGGTTCTTATAAATTTAGCATAATTATATCCCGTTTGTATAGTATTGATTTTAAACCAATGAAACATTTAAATTAACCAGCACTAGCAACCAAAGGGTGTTTTCGATTTAAACCGTTGAGACATCGATTTTTCTCACGTCGAACTCGCGGGAAACCCGACTCATTTGTTGAAATGATTTTAGATTATAAGTATCGAGAAGTCTTTCTGAGTAGTTTCATTCGTCCTCTAGATGCTCTTGAGTAATACTGTTTCTCGCCGAGGCGTACAGATATTTAGAATTTTAATTTTGCATTTGAAATTTGTGTAATCAGTTTCAATGCTCTTGCATAGTTTTGAAGCTAGAAAATATATAAAGCCTTTTTTCAAGGTCAGTCTGAAAGTAAACAATAGGGAACTGCACACTTGTTTTTTTTTTTTTTAATTGATTTTTTAAAACTTAAATTTTTCTGAAAGGGATTTCAATCATCCTTTCTAAGAAAGATTCTTTAGTCTAAAGGTAATAACTAAAACACTACTATATGTGCACAAAAAATTGTACTAAAATAATCATATCTATTTAAATAAAAACTTCATGTACTATCACACGATACTGACCATAGACTCCATTTTTGATTTTAACACAAATTTATTAATTATCTGTGCGCCTTGAGAGACTACGAATTTAATTCTGTACATTACTGATAGCATAAAGCGTTGAATATTTATTGTTGCGAATTACTTTCGTGGGGACCAAAACCGGAGGACGATTCTCCTACATTGACTTTTCGATTATGATAATGTTTATAAGTATTCTATCGGATAGGTATTTTTTATTTATTTCTCAGTGTATTTGGCGTTTTTAGATTTGCCATTCTAGTTAGCCAGTGTATAGGAAGTTTGCGGCGCACCATTCCCGGGGTTGCGTCGACACATGACCATAGACAAGTCTCGTAACTTTTTTACCATAAGACATAGATATTAAGAGGAAGCCATGTTCACACTTAGCTTTATTACAAGGGACAATGCATTGTTTTATTTTGCATTTCGACAACTGTGATAAAGAGGTTTGTCTATGGCCCGTATTGCTTAGCTTCTCTTTGTCTTGGAACGGTTTGCGATTTGTTTGTCAATTAGCATCAAAATATCCACACGAAGATGTTACTTATGTAGTAGATTATTATATTTAATAACTACGTGTTTGTCTCACTTTATCCCAAAGTAACATTTTCCTAAAGGTGAAATTCCTCAAAACGTTCCAACATTTGATCGCGGTCTAAAATACTTCGGAATTCAAGTTCCTAAATTACCATATGTATTCCGCAATCAGGCTTTATTAACTAATTCATTAGTTACCTTAACCTACAATCTTACCTTCGCTTCGGTATAAAAGTAGAAAACACCAGCAAACTTTCTACAATTATAGTAGAACTTTACAATTATATGTTTTGAGTATAATGACGCACTTTTTTCAATATATCTAAAACGTTTAATATTATTGCTCTATTTCATTATTTAAAGAACACAATATGTTTATATACGAAAACATGGTATTTTTGATTTTTAGACGCACGATCATGAGGTTACAGGGCGTTTTAAAATTTACGAACGCATCTATGTCTCGTCTAAGGATTAAAAATCCGTTTCGTTTGTAATTGAATAAAAGTTTGCTATTTTCGTATTAAAATGTGAAAAGTTTAATGAATGTGAGAGATTAGAATGATTGTCTATTTATATTCACAGAAATTTTCCAATTAGTATTGTTGAAACGATATTATTACATCTAAATTATGAAATTTCTATTCTTTAACATCATTTATCATGAAATTGTCTGTTTCGGAACTACTAAAGCATATGACATTTTAATAAGATCACCATTTAACTATGCGTGATGGAGCTTCTACCATTAATTTTTCCGCAAGATGAAGGGTTTTGCATGGCCGTGGGTGTGTTTATACATAAACCAATATGTATTTCATGTAATCTAATAAATGCATGTAACTATAATTAAGTAAACACAATTTGTTAAAATGTCACCGTGACTGTACTTTGTGAACAATTTTTTTTTTAAATAAAGTTTTCAAAAATGTATCTCCATGTTTTTAATTTCATTTTAATAGGATGAAAAATCTTAATATTGTAAAAATATTTCTATGGCTGTGTGCGATGGCTAAGGAAATTTTATGTTTGAATTAGTTAAAAAGTATAACGGACTTTTAACGAAAGGTTATAAATATAAAAATTTGATTTGAATTTCCGTTCAGTAAAATTGCTATTATTATATCGCAATTTAAAGAAAAAAAAAACTGCACTGCCCGGGAATCGAACCCGGGTCGCAAGAATGGGAATCTTGCATGATACCACTACACCAGCAGTGCTCTAGACGCCTAAGCTAATTGATTGTATTTATTCTTTTGTAACCTTGTGACACCAGAAGTTATAATAGCACAAAATAATAAATTTTAAGAATAAGTTTTTTAAAAACAGCTTAAACTTTAGCTAAAAGTCACCTCTATGCCAGCTTTCAAACAAAACATAATCGGATCACTCGTTTAGAAACTAAGATGCCACAGACAGACACGTCAAACTTACCCTATTAACGTGCGAATTTTAAAAACGTACTTTAATGTGAACCCTACTATCCTTTGTCCACAAATTGATTTATAGAGTCCTTATGTGCTTGACACAAGGTTTTTATTACATTTCAAACGTTTGTGCGTAAACAAGTTTATTTTGGGGCTTAGCAAGGAATATAATGCTATATTTTAATTTAAATGTCGCTGGTAGTGGCTGGATGAGGAAAGCGGAAGATCGTGCTATGTGGCGTGCCCTTGGCGAGGCCTATGTCCAGCAGTGGACTGCAAAAGGCTGATTGGATTGGATATTTTAATTTCATACAATTTGTTCACATTTTGGACCGTTCGGCCTTACTTTACTACATTTTTATAGTAATTAAGGGAAAGTTTAATGGCATGTAAATTAAATAGAATAGTAACAAAGACATTTATATAGATGAGTACGCATGTACCCAGTATAGGTAGGCTTTGACGTGCTAGCTGATCTTCCGATATTTCTATTTGGCCAAGGGAAAAATTTGCATTGCCATATTTTCATGTGAAATATTATCGTACTATTCACTTCTGTGTGTGTACCCCATAGGCTTATATAGCAGGGGGGCCGGGTGGGCCATGGGCAACCCAGTATCGTCTAGTGCCCACCCCAGGATATTGGGTTACTGATTCGAAATTTTAGACTGCACACTATACTAAGAAAATTCATAAAAAATCATTGTAAACAAATAATTATATACAGCCCAGAAATCTATGTAGGTACATACTTAGTTTTTATTACATACAATTTTACAATAAATGCCGTTTATTTACTTGTCAATACACAATATACTAACTACTATTTAGTTAATACTATTATAAATTAATAAAAATTGTTAACGATACCGAACTGTTAGTTTTTGAATGCAA